TGAAGCTTGGGTTTCGACCAAATAGCAGTTTACCCGGTCAATTACTATGAAGCCCGGGGATCGACCGGATATTAGTAGGCCTTAAAGTCAAATGGAAGCCCGGATTCGACTAGATAACCACTTGATTTCTTCTGAAGCCTGGATTACAACCAGATAAGAAGTAAGGTATTGTGAAGCCTGGAATCGACCAGATAGCAGTACAGAACGCCATGAAGCCAGGATTCGACCAGATAATGGTATAAGACATTGTGAAGCCTGGATTACGACCAGATAGCGGTAAAAGACACTGAAGCCTGTATTACGACCAGATAACAGTACACGACACTGTGATGCTTGGATTTCGACCAAATAGCAGTTTACCTGGACAATTACTAAGAAGCCCGGAGTCGACCAGGTATTAGTGTGCCCTAAATTCAAGTTGAAGCCCAGAGGCGACCGAATAACAACTTAATTCCTTCTGAAGCCTGGAGTATGACCAGATAAGAATTGAGAAATTGCAAAGCCTGGATTACGATGGGATAGCAAGCTTAATCTCATATCCCTAGTAAGTCATTGTAAAGCCTGGAGCACGACCAGATAGCAATCGATCTTATCACTATGAAGCCTGGATCACGACCAGATAGTAGTTCATTTTCACCTCTTCGACCAAGAGACGATCCCCAGTAGAATAACGGATGACCGAAGCTCCTAAAATTCAACTTTTCTCTCAAGACAGAGACCAACATTCCCCAGTGTAATCTTCCTCAACAACAGGTATACAAGCTCTCGCTAAGGAATCTCTTATGCAATCGACACTCCTTCAGATGGCATCTTTAAGCCCATCTTCCGTCATCAATCTCCAAATGGAATCTATAAGCCCATTTCTGACATCATAAGACAAATACCACTTCATGCGAGTGCAAATTTCTGGGCACTCTAGTGTTCAATCATCTTCCACCTTCGGATCACGAAAGGCAAGCAAGCCAATCTACATCCGCAGCTTTAAGAAGATTAAATAGGGGAAGCTGTTGTATCCAAAAAATTTCCCTCCCATATTTCTCAATATATTTCAAGTGAGGTCCTCAAATTGCTCAAGGAAGTTTAAGGGTTGACCGGACAAACTCTCTCCTAAGGCAGTCTACCTCAAATTAGGGTTTCATGTTACATCAAGATACTTGAGTCCAAGGGATCCCAAATTCTCACCATTGTCCTAATATGTTCTCAAGATCATCCTTGTCAAGTTTCAAGCCTTGCAGAGGAAGTTTGCTCAGTCAATTGCTCAAAGGCCTGAAAATCGACTATGCTAGGGCAAAAGTCAACTATGGCCCACATACAGTCAAACTTTAAGATTTTTGGTCAACATCCTCATTTTGAAGTATTATTCATCATTTGATCAAGGATTGACCATGATTCCTCAAGGATTACTCACAATGAATCAAAACCCGAAAGTTGCTAAATTAGGGTTTTGTAGGAAAAGTCAACTCAACTTTGACCAAGCATAACTTTCTCATACTTTATGAGAAATGACCCATCCAAAGCTCGTTTTGAATAGGATGCTATTCCCTACAATCCATCTTCAGCTCCCAAGTTAAAAATATGCACTCACAAGAAGTTATGAATTTGGACATTATAGGTCATTTTGAAAAGTCAACAAAAACATATTTTTTGTCAAAGCTTCATACATAAACATGGAAGACTCAATTGAGATGAGATCAAAAGTTTTGCTTAGATGACATCTCAAGCTTTCTAAAAAGTCCAATAACACCTTCAAAGAGTCAAAATTGAAGAAGTTATGCATTGGTGAAGTTGACCTTTTTTGCAAAATTGCCAAAAGTCCAAAGTGCCTCAAATTGTAATTTTTGTCAAATGGGCCTAACTTTTTGCACTTGTTTTGAGTTTGTAACATGGTCCATGAGCCCTAGCTCTTTCCACTTGCCTTTATTTTATTTTTTCTTTTTATTATGATTTTTTATTTCAATCAAATCAAATTAAATCAAAATAAATCATGGAAATATCCAAATCATTCAAATCTTAAGATTTGATGCATGTTTCAGGTCCCTTATACATCTAGCAAGTGAATCAAATCGTTTAAGGTATGGTTGTGCATAAAAAGATTGGTTTTGGCCTATTTTTGGAAAGATTTTCATGAAGATCAAATCATGATCAAAGACCATAATTGCCAAAGATTGAGAACACATTTGCAACCATAATTCGTTCCTTGGTATATAACGGACAAAAGCAGATCAAAAACATAAGATTTGGAGGGGTGGAGAGGAAGAACAAAACTTGAAAAAACTCAAGAAAAGTGCTGATCTGATTTTGTACTTCCAAGCATTTTCAAGACTCCCAAGCCATCTCATTCGCTTCCTGTGAGTGCAAGGAAGCTATACCAATCAAGAGCAAGCGTCCTCGAGCCCAGAATCGGGTTCCACGACCCCTACGATTTGCCCTTATTTCCAAAATCGAATCTCTTTATTCTTGCATCTTTATCATGTTTCAATAGCATATTTCTAATCTCTAACGTGTTTGCAAGCTCATGGTGACAATTAATTGCATTTTTGTTGGCTATATTAAAATCCACCATTGCTAGGGTTTCTTTGTGCGTTTTGGGATCTTTTTGTACATGAAAAATTGGTCCACAAGAAGGGTGCCATGATGATCACAGGGTCAGGACGATTGGATCTACATCATTAGATTTCGTTTATCATGCATGTGTGAGATTTTGAAATATGCAGGGTTTATAGTTACGGACTTTTGTCCGTAGGTAAAAGTCCATAACTTTTACCAATGGAGAGAGGAAGAAGAAGACCTGCGTGGCATCACCCTACTCGCCCATTTGAATTTTGGCGCGTGTTTTATAGCTAGCTTTGTTTTATTCATTTTATTGTTTTTTGTTTCATATATTAACAAATTGAATCAAGTGGCCCAGTGGTAGCCAAGGTGGCGCTAAGGCATTGCAGGCATGAGGTCAGGGGTTCGACCCCTGCCTCCAAACATTTGCAATTTTTCTTAATTGTTCTTTACAGATCCAATATCCCACGCGTCATGAAGACCACCATGTGACCTCAAGGCTCAATCATTGGATCTCCAGGAAGCCAGATCTGAAGGCCATTACATGAGGGTACATCATGCATCCCAGTCAAAGTGCAGCACTGGATCAGAAAGGTCAACGTGGACCAGGGTTCTTGGGCCCAAAAATTGCTAAAGACACCCCTCCAATTTGCTGATTACAGGCCCAATATTCTTTTTATTTATTCTTTTATAATTTGTTTTATTTAATTTATTTAATTTATTTAAATTATTTTCACTAACACAAAAATTAATTCTTTTTTTATAAAATCATAAAATCATTTTTTTCATCAAAATTAGATTTAGGTTTTATTTTTATAAAAATTAATTTAGTTAGTTAATTTAATTTATTAGGTAACTTTAATTCTTTTTATAAATAAATTAAAATCAATTAGAAGAATTAGGGTTTTTGTTTTAATTTAATTCTTATTTTCTTTTCTTAAAAAATAACCAAAACATAAAATTAGGTCAAATGTAAATTATTTTCTTTAATTTAATTTAATTAGTAATTAGGTACATATTTAATTTAAAACCTTATTTTCTAAAAATAATCAAAAATAACCAAAAAATGATTTTTCTTTTAATTAGGTTTAGACGGGGTCAAAACCCTAATTTCTCTCGTTCTCGATTCATCGCGTGCATTTCTTTATTTTTACAATATTTATGTAATTGCTCATGGGATGTAATAGATTAATTAGGACTTGTTTCGTTTATTTATCGTTTTAGCGGGTTTTTTGGCTATGTAATTAATACCCGAAGCCTTGTAATAGCGTAGCTTTACTTTCCGCATTTTAATTCTCGCAAATATTAACTGTTAGATGTATGATATTAGGATTGCATGACAAAGACTGTATGTAAATTTTAAAACGGTTAGCAAACTCTAAATGTGCAAAGATAATAACTTGAAATTGAATCACTCGCACATGCGCACTCCTAGGGTATACTCTCACTTTGGTTGCCTTCGGTAAACGATCATTAATTATAGGGCATTTTAGTGGTCGCTCTCTTGTCTAAACAAAGATCAAACGTCCCGTTCGGAAAAGTTGCCTCGGAAAGGTTGCCTCGAAAATGTTGTCTCGAATATGATCTTAAGACATTAGGGTTATTACTAAGACGTCCTAACATTGCTTTAGTGATCGTACCTCCCTTTTCGAATTGACCCTTAAAACTCCAATAATGGTGCTACCTACTCTTTAATAGTGGGATAGCGCTGTCTAAAGGAAACAAGAACAGAAATATTCTTTTTTCGAGTAGGTAGATAACTGTTAGGTACTTGCTCATAACAAACTTTTAACACCATACAATTTTCAAACAAAGTTTTCAAAACGACTTCGTAACACTCTTGAAGACAGAAGCAAGGGTTAAATCGAAGTAAAACAAAAGTTTTTCAAACACACAAACACAGAAGCAAATTTTTAAAAGATGAGCAAGTACCTAAGAGCCCGTGGAAAACCACAGATAGAAAGGGTGCTAATACCTTCCCTTTCTATAATCTACTCCGTACTCAAAATCTTGAAAAAAGAATTTTTATGTGCTTTTTTTCTTTCCAGTTGGATAAAATAAAAGTCGGTGGCGACTCTTGCTTACTGCGATATTTTACAAACACAAACGCAAACTAGCATTTTCCTAAAACAGTCTGGTTCTACCACTGTATCACAATGAGCATCTAATGATTTATTTTCTTATTAATTTTTAGTGGTCAATTTTCTACTTTCTTTCTGACCAAAACCACATGATTCATACACCCTTTACACTGCACTCGTCTTACTAATTCACACATTTTTCATCGGAAGCCTCTCCTACTCAAACCACTTGCACGTTTTAACAAGAACGTTTTTTCGACACGTTAGCATTCGTAATCCACAGCTTCTACCTACACATAATCATCACCATCTCCAAACTATCAACCAAAATTTAAGTTTTTTTTGATAGATCATATTCACCATAGATTAATGAACTTTAACCATAATTTTAAATTATTCACTATTGTCCCATTCAATGTCTATAACAACAACATTATATCAAAAAAAAAAAAGAAGAAAGAGAAAAGTAAAAACGACATGATAACAATTTATTTGTGTTATTGTTTCTTTAGTTTTTGTTTACAGATTAAAGAGAAGAAGCACAAGATCCAAACACCGCCTCCCAGAAATCACTGACGAACCACCCGGGTCTTCCAATTACGTCGTCATCAACCACACGTAATAATCATCACCACCAAGCTATCGAACTCAACGGTTTTAGACTCACCGAAGGCACAATCCAAATCTCCATTGCCGCCGTCGACGACATTGTTTCCTTTTCTTTCGATTTTTTCCATTTTTTTGATTCGTGCTTCAAATTGTATTGTTTCGACTTTTTTTCTAATTAAATGGAGAATGATTCGGGTTTATTGATATAGAGGAAATCAATTTGAAAAAAAAGGGTTTCTATGGTTATGAGTTTGCAACGTAATGAGAGAGAAGAGAAATTTGATGCGTTTTATATGGGTTTTAACATATGTTAGTTGTGTTTTTATTATTATAACAATAAATCCATGTGTCATACTGTAGCTGGGAATTTTAATTTTGAAGAAAAATTCAAAGTAAGGTGATTAATATAATTATTAGCTATTATTGTTTTATATAAAGAAAAAATTAAAAATGGAATACTAATAGGAGGCGGTACGTTCTGCTACTTCTTATTTTTGTTCTTAGTTTATTTTTTTTTTTCTTATTATTTTAGTTAGATTTTTACTTATTCATGTATTTTGTTTATTTATTTTTATTCAAGTAGATAGGTTTCACCAACACGCATGTTTTATTCTTTTTGAAGTGTCTTAATTAACTAATTTAATATTCTATAAAGATATTAAAACTCACACAATTCACCAATGAGAAAGTGATTTGAACCGTTGAAGCATAAAAAATTATCCTTGGAAGGTTGATAAAATGTTGTTAATGCACTTTCCAAAAATACAAGTCTTTTCTTGTTCCATCTAGTAATCTTTGATTTGTAATGAATGAATTGTAATGCATCAGAATGTTTCTTCTTTGAAATCAGATCAGAATAAGAATATTAACATTGAGACTTTAGATCATCAGAGTATCTTGAGATTCATATGATCAGAATTTGAATGAGACAGACACGTTGAAGCTTCTTTGTACTTTCTGAATATTCACTTATTAGAGTATAGCTTGAGCATAAGTGTTGTGTCTTAGAACTTTAGAATAGATGAGTGTGATTAGACTTCCTTTGTTCTTCCAGAACTTCACTTATCAGATTATCATAATTTAGCTTGGAGCTTTGGTGCTTCAGAAGTTATAACATCAGAACTTCTTCTATTGAGCGTGTTACACGGATTTGCTTCTAAGTTTGTACGCCTCGTCTAATCATAACTTCAAAATGCATATAATCTCATTATCTTCTATTCTCTTTTGTCATAACTTCTCTGCATATTTAAATAATTTATTAGAGAGCATATTTGTTCTTTATATATATCATGTATTTGTTATCATCAAAACTATTACTAAGATGTAGAACCAAACTATGTTCTAACAATCTCCCCCTTTTTGATGATGCCAAAAACTTGTATATGTTGATGAGCAAGTAAGAACATAAAGAATTAGGGTCTCCCCATGAGTTTAATACTCAGATAAAGAAAAAATAGATACTTCTTTGAAGATGTTTGATCAAAGTTTTTGATGGAAGTTCTGATAAGTCCATGTGACATAAGTTACTTTCAAGAGACACTTTTCCTATTTTCTTTCAGAAACATTGAAACAAAAGTTACGTAATGAAAAATGTTTGAGACTTAGTCCCGATACTATTTTATTCAAAATATTTCACTTTATTTCCTTTTTTTTGTCATAAATCAAAAAGAATTAAAAACACGTAAAGAGAACAAAAAGGTTATGCATTCAAGAGCAGAGATTAATACAATCAGAAGCAGACAAACAAAATTTTTAAACCTAAATCATAGCCTAAACAAGCAAAAGAATAGATCTAAGGTTGTGAAGGAGGTGGAAGTCCTGTGAACAATGCTTCCGGAAGACTTTTGATCTGATTTCTCGATTCTTCTTGCTTGCCTAGCATTCCCTTAATCTAATTGTTTGTTTCATCATGTTTATCCAGCCTTTGTCTGTCATCTTCATTCCCTTTCTTCAACTCATCCATAGTTTTCAACACTAGAGAAGATGGATTTGTTTCAACAGTAGAAGCCATTTTCTCATAAGTTACTACAACAGATTCTTTCTCAGGAGATTCTTAAACTAATTTTCTGTTGTATTCAAAAACGACCAGAGGCCGAGGTTGAGGTTCAGAAGATGGTTCCTGAAATTATGATTCCTTTGGAGCTTCCCAAGCAGTGTTGTCCATATGATGAAGGGGTTTCCTTACCCAGAGACATAGAACTTGATCCTTGAAGATATTCTGATGATCGCAGAAGTTTTGTTGAGAAATTTCATAACTAAGTTCCTTCATCTTCAGAGATTCAGAATTAAACCACTTTATGAACTGAGTCTAGAGAGAATCTGAAACAGCTGGATTAAGATTTTCCATGCAAGCTTGCTTTAAAGAGTTAAAAAATTCATGTATTTCTGTCTCAAAAACCAGAAGAGATTTACCAACATCTAATTTGGATAGTTTTGGAATGGCTATTTTTGAGAAGATGTGACAAAATTGTCCTAGGCTTCTCAATTATGGTTCTGGGAGGATCTTCTGAGGAGTTAGTGGGAGTTGGAGAGCTGGAAATGATGATATGAGTGTTAGGTGGTGTTGAATCATAAGGAGAGGGGATATCTGGACGGAAAAAATCTTATGAAGGTTTGGTGGAGATATTTGGTGTTTTAGAGGCGTTGAGAGGGAAGGTGATTCCTGGAATGGCTGGTGTGTTTCAGGCATTTGTTCAGAGGTAGTGTTTGGATTTTCTGTTTGGGAAGCTTCAAATAATGGATCAAATTGATCATTATCAGATAGAACTTGTGCAAGTTCTAGATGAGTTTGAGCAAATTAGGTAGAAGGGGGATTAATTAGAGGATTATTAGTGGGTATGGTGGTGTCAATTTTTATGTCAAAGTAATCAATAGTGTGTGGTGAGGGATTTCCAGCAAGTTTTGGAGATGAGGAGGGTTCAAATGTTGATAAGAAAACTGATTCGACAATAGAAACAAAAGAAGAGTTACCTTTCTTTTTGGCAAATTTAGGAGTTTTCTGAGAAGTTCCTTCTCCAGTAGCTTTCCTTTTCCTTGCCTTTCCAGTATTAACTTCTAGAGGTTGTTGCCTAAGATAAAATAAATTGACATCTGGAATTGTACCATCACTTTTGCAAGCTTCCAGATATCTAAGGATAATTTCTGGAGATGAGTCCGCTTGAGTTAAGAGAGTAAAATCCTTCAGAGGGACTCTTCTGGTGGTGATGACTTCCTTTACAGTAAGTGGGATCCTTCTTAATGGTTTTTATAATCTTCATCTTCTTGAGGTTCATGGTGTTGAGAGGCTTTCCAGCACAAGGTTCCAGAACACTAGCTTATTGAGCTTCACTCAGATGTTCTATCAGTTTATTCTCTATTAGAATATCTAAGATCTACCTTCCCAGCAGAATCTAATCTATTTTAATTCTTTCTTCTTCTCTTGTTTCCTTGACACTGGTCTTGAGATGATTGAAAATAATATAAGGGAGGTGGACTTTGGCCTTGGTTTCTATGAAGTACAACAAGTATTTTTTATCAATGTTGATGTAGTCTAGAGAACTAGTTAATTTTCTGTGGTTGATACATCCCAGAATTATTCTTGACCAAATTCTGAGACAGTCCTTCAGATCTTTAATCTTATTTGAGGGTTGTCCAGAAGAGAATATTTCTTTGGATACAATGGTTAGGTTAGAACCTTTTTCTTCCTTTTCACTACACCTGATGCCGCTTCCATCATGACTGTGATACGGTGGGAAGAACTGGCTGTTTTTTGAATGCTGGTTCACGTTTTGCGTTTTGTATTCGCAAAATGTTGCGGTAAGAAAGAGTCGCCACCGACTTTTATTTTATCCAACAAGGAAAGGAAAAAAAACACAGAAAAATTCCTTTTTCGAGATATTTCTGAGTATGGAGGGTAGATTTATAGAAAGGGAAGGTATTAGCACCCTTTCTATCCGTAGTTATCTACGGGCTCTTAGGTACCTGCTCATCATTTTTCAAAATGTTTTCTTTGTGCTTGTGGGTTTTGAAAAGTTTTGTTTTTTAACTTCGATTTAACTCTTGCTTCTGTCTTCAAGAGTGTAATGAAGTGTTTTTGAAAACTTGTTTGTAAAAAAGTGTAAGTATGAAAGAGTTTTGTTTTGGATGAGCAAGTATCTAAGAACTAATCTACCTACTTGAAAAAGGAATCGTTCTATGTTAATTTCCTTTAGACAATGCTATCCCACTATTAGTGAGTAGGTAACACCGTCGTTGGAGTTTGAGGGTCAATTCGAAAGAGGGACATACGGTCACTAAAGCAATGTTAGGATGTCTTAGTGGTAACCCTAATGTCTTAGATCATTTATCCGAGGCAACAATATCCGAGGCAACCATTTCGAGGCAACTATGATCTTTTAGACAAGAGGGCGACCTCTAAAACAACCTATACTTAATGGTTGTTTTACGAAGGCAACCAAGTGGGGTGTATCCTAAGAGTGCGCATGTGCGAGTGTGTTGATTTCAATTATTTTTATCTTTGCACATGTTTAGGGTGATCTAATTGATTTAGATTAAACATTCATTCTTGTCATGCAAACCCTATTAACAAACATCTAGCAGTTGTATATTTACGGAAATTAAAGGTGCGGAATTTTAAACTAAATTATTACAAGGCGTCGGGTATCTACATCGTCAAAAGCAACCCTTTAAAATAAAAGCGGTAAAAGTAAATGTCCTAATTAATTATTACAAACTGGGAGCAGATACATTAATTGGATAAAGAAAAATGAAGTGCGCGATGCGAAATTAAATGGAATGCGAGATTAAGGTTTTGACCCTCTTAATTAAAGAAAATGTTTTTTGGTTGTTTATATTTTTAAGAAAAGAAATTAAATCCTAAAATTAATGCTAAATTAATTATTAAATTAATTAATTAATGAAAAATATTAAATGACATATTTTTGGAGTTTTTGTTATTTTAGGAAAGAAAATAAAATAATTAAATTAAT